CCCCTTCCCCCACCTCATTACAAGTTTACTCAAATCCCTAAAAGTAAATTCAGCACTTGGGCGCCTGGCTCAGTGGGGAGGGCGTGCGAAGCTTGATCTCAAGGTCGTGAATTCAAGGCCCATGTTGGACATGGAGGAAGGAAGGAAGGAAGGAAGGAAGGAAGGAAGGAAGGAAGGAAAGAGAGAAAGAAGGAAGGAAAGGGAGAAAGAAGAAAGGAAAGACAGAGAGAGAAAGAAAAAAGGAAGGAAATAAGGAGAGAGAAAAGAAAAAAAAGGAGAGAAAGAAGGAGAGAGAGAATGAAAAGAAAGAAAAGACAGGGAAAGAAACAGAAAGAACACAGGAAAGAAAGAAAAGACAAAAGAAAGAAGGAAGTGGAAAGAAAAAGAAGGAAAGAGAGAAAGAAAGGGAAAGAGAAAGGAAGAAGGAAAGAGAAAGAAAAAAGGAAAGAAAAGAAAGAAGAAAAAAGGAAAGAAAGAAAAGAAGAAAAGAAAAGAAGGAAGCAAAGAAGGAAAGAAAGAAAGAAAAAGAATTTAGCCTTTAATTCATCATTTACCAGGTTAACATCAAGGCGGCTCAGAGCGCCAGGCTGGGTAGGAGGGGCTGCGGTGGCCCCCAGGCTGAAGGGCTGGCAAGTTTCTTTTCCACCTTTCCCCACGGCCTTCCCGAAACCTCTGATCACCCTGGGAATGACCTTAACCAGCTGTCCTTGCGCTTAGAAAACACAAGGCAAACTTTCAAACCTTTCAGGTCAACTAAAGTCTGTCTTTAGGGAATTCGGCTCCTTTCTCCTCCCACCCAACTACAAACTAACATTATCGTCCATTTTTTAAAACATTTTATTTATTTTTGAGAGAGAGAAAGAGAGCACGTGCAGGGCAGGGGCAGAAAGCGAGGGGGACAGAGGATCTGAAGCGGGTTCTGTGCTGACAGCACAGAGCCTGACGTGGGGCTCGAACTCACCAACTGTGAGATAATGACCTGAGCTGAAGTCAGAAGCTCAACTGACTGAGCCACCAGGTGCCCCATGTTTATCATCTTTGATCCCAAACTCACTTGGGAGACTGCTGGGGCCTTTTGTCCCCCTGCCTGGGCGAAAGTGGAAAACACCCAAGGTGTCACCAGGCTGAGTTATTTTCTTCACGGTGGCTGCACCTGCCCGAGTCCGCAAGGGGGTCCCAGGAGCCTGCCCCCAAGGGTTGGGCCTATTGTTTTAATTCCACAGGTGACTTTTACCTCTTACAAGAGCCAGCACCTAGGCTGTTTGAGAGTGACGCCATGGCCATCCCTCACCCCCTCCCTTTTACCCAGATAGTTCCGCCACTGTGTGTGTGTGTGTGTGTGTGTGTGTGTGTGTGTGTGTGTGTACAATCCCAAGATGACCCGCGTGCTCAGGTATTTGCCAGAAACACTCATGAAGCTCAGTATATAGTTATACTCACTCCCGAGACTGACCTCAGGGGTACAGCTGGACGCACGGCTAGATAATAAGGGGAAAAGACACAGACAGAGCCTGGAAGAATCCATGTGCCCATTCCTTGTGTCCCCTCCCTTCCCCGAGGGGCCACGCAGAGTGTACTCTGGACCCAGCAGGTGTGTGATGTCCCAGGAAGCTCATCAGAGACTCAGCACCCTGGGGGTTCACGGGGGCTCAGTCACAGAGGCACTTTCTGTCTGGCTCGTATCCAAATTCCAGGCTCCCAGAATGAAAGCAAGTGTTTGGCATAAACCATACTAAATATTTGCGCAACAAGCCACCCTTACTGGTTAGGTAATGGCGGGGAGAACTTCCAAAATTCACTTTCCCAGATGCCAGCCATGAGCCAACGTTACAATCAGGGCTCTCTCTCACTCTTTAAAAAAAAAAAAAATTTTAACGTTTATTCATTTTTGAGAGACAGAGAAAGAGTGCGAGCAGGGGAGGGCGGGGAGAGAGAGGGAGACACAGAATCAAAGCTGAGTTGTCAGCACAGAGCCAGGCATGGGGCTTGAACCTACGAGCCATGAGATCATGACCTAAGCTGAAGATGGGCATTTAACAGACTGAGCCACCCTGGCGCACCACAATCAGGCCTTCCTAAGGAGAGGCCAGCTAGGTTTGCTTTTTGGGGACAGTCACTGGAATGACGTGACCATCACGGTTTGCTTTGCTGTATTGTGGTCCTACAGGAGAGTGACCCCATACGTACAGAATACACACTCAAGAGCTTTGCAGTGATATTGGAGATGTGTTACATATTTCAGGGGGAGTTGCATGGAGGTTACGGTGCTCTTCTCTTTGCTTTTGTTTATTCTCAAATAAACATGAGAATATTCACGAATTCTCCGTGACAAAATAAAATAAGCAACACTCTGTTGGCAAAGACACCTTGTAAATGTGGTTATTTCTAGAGGCGCCGGGCTGGCTCAGTTCTTCAGGGTTGTGGGTTCAAGCCCCACCTTGGGTATAAAGGTCTCTTTAAATAAATAAATAGGGGTGCTTGTGTAGCTGAGTCAGTTAACCATCCAACTCTTTTTTTTTTTTTTATGTTTATTTATTTTAGGAGACAAAGAGGCGTGGGATGAGGCAGGGAGGGGCAGAGATAGGAGACAGAATCCCAAACAGGCTCCAGGCCCTGAACTGTCAGCACAGAGCCCGATGTGGGGCTTGAACCTACAAACTGTGAGATCATGACCTGAGCTGAAGTCAGACGCTGAACCGACTGAGTCACCCAGGCACCCCAAGCGTCCAACTCTTGATCTCCATTCAGGTCTTGATCTCCGGGTTGTGAGTTCAAGCCCTGTGTTGGGCCCCACGCTAGGAGTGTGAAGCCTACTCAAAAAATACATCCAAACAGGGGCGCCTGGGTGGCTCAGTCAGTTAAGCATCTGACTTCGGCTCAGGTTGTGATCTCGCTGTTCATGAGCTCGAGCCCGGTGCTGACAGTGCAGAGCCTGCTTGGAGACTCTCTCTACCCCTACCCCAAATGCACTTTCAAAATTAAATAAACTTAAAAAATGCATAAATAAATAAACAAATAAACAGATTAGCTCTGGGAGGGGAGGGAAACTGCATTAGAGGGCACTTTCACGTTTGTCTTCGTGTATTTCTTCTAACACACGTGCACTTGGAAAAGAAGAACGACAGGGGCTCCTGGGCGGCTTAGTCGGTTGAGTGTCTGACTTTGGCTCAGGTCATGATCTCGTGGTTTGGGGGTTCGAGCCCCGCGTCGGGCCCTGTGCTGACAGCCAGGAGCCTGGAGCCTGCTTCAGATTCTGTGTCTCCCTCTGTCTCTGCCCCTCCCCAGCTCACGCTCTTTTTCGGTCTCAAAAATAAATAAAACATAAAAAAAAAAAAGAACTACAGATAAGCAAAATAAACACAAAGTCACCACTACCAGAGTAGCACTGTAGTAGCCCTGTAACCTGGTAGTTCATAGGCTTTTTTTTTTTTTTAATCTTAAGTAAGCTCTACGCACAATGGACGGCTTGAACTCACGACCCTGAGATCAAGAGTCGTGCGCTCTACTGAATGAGCCAGCCAGGCACCCCTACAGTTAATATTCTCATTCTGCATATATACACCTACCTACCCACCTGTATGCACATGCACAGCCAGAAGGTACTCCAGGATATAAACACATGCAGGCACACGTGTGTGCATAAAGTATCATTTAACTTGGACACACACAGGTAGGTGTATACATACAATATATGTGCCAACGTTAAATTAAATCGTATGGCTGCTTGGGGCTCCTGGGTGGCTCAGTTGGTTAAGCATCTGACTTCGGCTCAGGTCATGATCTCACGGTTCATGGGTTCGAGCCCCATGTCGGACTCTGCCCTCACAGCTCAGAGCCTGGAGTCTGCTTCGGATTCAGTGTCTCCCTCTCTCCCTGCCCCTCCCCCGCTAGTACTCTCTCTTTCACTCAAAAATAAATTTTAAAAAACATTAAAAAATTATATGGCTGCTTTTTTTTTTAAGCGATGCTCTCTACTTTTCCCTTCCTGTAAATGTTTTTCATAGTCCTCATGTCCAAATTCCCCCAGTTGACCCGAAAATATTCTCTAGAGCTGAATGGTCCAAACCTGTCTCTACTTCAGGCCCACACGCGCCATCTGGTCATGACTCTCAGGTCTGTTTCAACCTGTCACAACTCCTTTTTTAAGAAACTGGCAAATACAGCCACTTCTGGGCGTATCTGGTTGCTTCTTTGCTTGTGTTTCGCTTCTACAGAAAGATGGGGCTGAAGGCCTGACCTCTCGAATGAGCACTTCCTGGTGGGAAACGGGGAGACACACTTCATGTGGATCACAGCCGACCCAGAGCATTAAGGGGCGCTTGGCTGGCTGGCTGGCTGAGTAGAGCATGCAACTCTTGGTCTCAGGGTTATGAGTTCAAGCCCCACGCTGGGTGTACAGCTTATTTAAAAATAAAATCTTGGGGCGCCTGGGTGGCTTAGTAGGTTGAGCGTCCGACTTTGGCTCAGGTCATGATCTCGTGGTTCATGAGTCTGAGCCCCGCAAGGGGGTCTCTGCTGTCAGGGCAGAACCTGTTTCGAATCCTGTCCCCCTCTCTGCCCCTCCCCCAATTGCGCACACTCCCTCTCTCTCAAAAATGAATATTTAAAAATAAAATAAAATAAAAATAAAATCTTAAAAAAAGAGAGAGACCTAGAGCATCTCACTGCCCCACCAGGAGTGAGTGAGTCATGACCCTGGACTGGCGTGAGGACAGCCTCATCCTGGGTCCATCTAGAAAGTCACAGGACACCTGGGTGGCTCAGTTGGTTAAATGTCTGACTTCGGCTCAGGTCATGATCTAATGGTTCAGGAGTTCAAGTCCCACGTTGGGCTCTGTGCTGACTGCCAGCTCAGAGCCTGGAGCCTGCTTCAGATTCTGTGTCTCCCTTGCTCTCTGCCCCTCCCCCACTCATGCTCTGCCTCCGTCTCCCTCTCAAAAATAAACACACATTAGAAAGTCACACACGTATTGTCATTGTGGTTAAAAGAACTGAGGCACTTTGGCAAAATTACAAATTTATTACATATGACTGGCAGATAGCCATTGCTGATATATTATTATCCCAACGTTCATGAAACTTTTCAAAGTAAAAAATAATTGTACACACCGCACGATCACAGGGTCCTTGAGGACCTCCAAACATTTTCTGAGCCAGGTGACTTTTCAACTGCGAGAACTGGCCCCAGCCTTGAAGCTTCAGGAGGTTACATCTGCCGCCCAATGTGGCTGGTATTTTCCCAGCCATAAGGACAAGATTCTACTTCAGAGATGAGGGGGGCTCCCCAAAGGGATCAGTAGCACCCTCGAAGCAGAAACAAGAGACAAGGGGAGAATGGACCGGGGTTGACTCAGAGGGCCTCTGGGGTGAGGGCGAAGAGCCCTCTCCAGGACCAGTCACCCCGTGTCGTCCCCCCTGCCCCACAGGAAGGACCGCCATACAACAGCAGTAGGTAGGTCTGACAATAGAACCTTCTTCTAGTAGTTTCCAGAGCCTACTAGAAGAGGGGACCCAGCAGCAGCCTCAAATGGACTCTGAAGTACCCGGGATGCCAGGAGGTACCTGCCCTTGGTTAATGAGAGGTCCTGGCCAGCGGTCCCAGGTCCCGGAAGGCATCGGTCAGGTCGTTTTGCAAGGATAGCCCTTGGCTAAGACAGGCGGGCCCGCACGACCACGCTGGAGTTGGTCACTCGGGCTCCGTAGTGACCGGCCCAGAACTGTGTGTCCTGGCCCCAGTGTTCGAAGGACACAAAGCGGACACCTGTCTTGATGTCGGAGAACACGTGGGTGACCTGTGGGTAAAGAAGAGATCAGCCCTGTGTGCCTTCTTCTCGAAAGCTGAGCAGGGCTTTCTGGCGGATTGAATCACCTGCTTCTCATTCTAATTCCTGTCCCCTTGAGTCAGGGTGGGTCTCTTTGTGACGCAGGGCGTGGCAGAAATGAAGCTAAGTGACTGTCACCGGGTGACTTTCTAGGTCAGAAAAGGCAATGCAGCTTCTCTTGGATTCTCTAGAACCCTCTTAGTGGGATCCTGAGCCACCGGTAAGCAGAGTCTGGCTGCCCTGAGCTGGCCACGCTTTGAGGAAATCTAAACCAGCCCAGGGAGAGACATCGCACAACGATGCCTCTGGGACTAAATGAAGCCTCCAGATGCTGTTCACACACACACACACACACACACACACACACACACACACACACACCCCCCACCCTGCCCTTCAGCTCCAGCCATTGTCTGAATGCAACTACCAGAGAGACTAGACCACAAGCACCCAACAGAGCCCTCCTTGTAGAAACCACGGGGCACCTGGGTGGCTCAGTCAGTTGAGCGTCTGACTTCAGCTCAGGTAATGATCTTGTGAGTTCGAGTCCCATGTCCCGCTCACTGCTGTCAGCGCAGAGCCCACTTCGGACCCTCTGTCCCCCTCTCTCTCTGCCCCTCCCCTGCTCGCTCCCTCGCTCATGGAAGCACTCTCTCTCAAAACTCAGCATTAAAAAAAAAAAGAGGGGCGCCTGGGTGGCTCAGTTGGTTAAGCGTCTGACTCCGGTTCGGGTCATGATCTCACGGTTCATGGGTTCGAGCCCTGCGGCAGGCTCTGTGTTGACAGCTCAGAGCCTGGAGCCTGCTTTGGATTCTGTGTCACCCTGCCCCTCCCCTGCTCATGCTGTCTCTCTCTCTCTCTCAAAAATAAAAAAATAAATAAAATATATAAAAATTAAAAAACCACAAGAAGTAATAAAATGATTGCTGTCGATGTTTGTTACGCAATAACCAGCCCAGCGCGACCCCCCCCCCCCGCCCCTGTCAGAGGCTTACCTGAAAGCAGACATTGTTGTTCCACTGCTGGATGGGAACAGGCATGGCGGAGAATTTGTCCAGGACCGTCTGGTTGGCATCTAGAAGCTGGACAAGGAGTCGGTACATACAGCCACTGTCGTGTCGGGCTCCCCACCTGTGGAAGGAGGGAGGCCTTGAAGTCGGGGCTTGCCCACCCCGGCTCCCTGGGGGTCTGCCTGCCTCCCCCCCCCCCATTAAACGGTCTCTCCACATATGCAAGTCAAAAATTTGCATATATAAATTTTGTAGCACAACTGGGTGTACCCTGGGACCTTGGCCCCACTTCAGACTCAATGGATCAGAACCTGCATTAAACTGAGCTCCGCAGCTGGTCCGCAAGCACATCGATTTTCTGAACAGTGAGCTGGAGCCCCGCTCTTCAAGGCACCTCCTCCCATATTATTAAGGGGACAATGGAAAGTGCTCATTCTATGTTTACATGGTGGCAAAAGATGTAGTAATGTCCAATGTGCATGCTGACATTTTACGTTTGTTTTTGAAAGAGAAAGACGGAGCATGAGCAGGGGAGGGGCAAAGAGAGAGGGAGACACAGAATCTGAAGCAGGCTCCAGGTTCCGAGCTGTCAGCACAGAGCCCGACGTGGGGCTCGAACTCATGAGCCCTGAGATCATGACCTGAGCCGAAGTCTGACGCTTCACTGAGTGAGCCAAAATCAAGAGTTGAACATTTAACCAACTAAGCCACCCAGGTGCCCCTGCATATTGACATTTTAAGAGATAATTCTCATGTCTGATATTTAAAAGGACCAGGGGAGGGGCGCCTGGGTGGCTCAGTCAGTTAAACAGCTGACTTGATTTTTTGGCTCAGGTCATGATCTCGAGGTTGGTGAGTTCGAGCCTTGTGTCAGGCTCTGGCTCTGCACGGACAGTGCCGGAGCCTGCTTGGGATTCTCTCACTCTCCCTCTCTCTCTGACCATCCCCTACTAGTGCTTTCTCTCTCTCAAAATAAACTTAAAAAAAAATAAAAGAACCAGGGAAATCTAAATATATTTAGCCATGGTGGGATACCCAGCAACATTAAACAAACACAAAACAGTGTCCATCAATGGTAAATGGATAAACTGCGGTATATTCACATACATAACAATGAAAGCATACTGACTGCAGTTACGTACACTTATGGATCTATTTAAAAACATGTCATTGAAAGAAGCCAGGGGCACCTCGGTGGCTCAGTGAGTCAAGCATCTGACTTCAGCCCAGGTCATGACCTCACAGTTCATGAGTTCGAGCCTTGCATCCGACTCTCCCTTCTTAGTGCAGAACCTGCTTCGGATCCTCTGTCTCCCCCTCTCTCAGCCCCTACCCCACTTGTGCTCTTTCTCAAAAATATTTATAAACATTAGGGGTGCCTGGGTGGCTCAGTCGGTTAAGCGTCTGACTTCAGCTCAGGTCATGATCTCACGGTTCGTGGGTTCGAGCCCCGCATCAGACTCTGTGCTGACAGCTAGTTCAGGGCCTGGAGCCTGTTTCAGATTCTGTGTCTCCCTCTCTCTCTGATCCTCCCCTGCTCATGCTGTCTCTCCCTCTCTCTCAAAAATAAATAAAATAGTTAAAAAAATATTTATAAACATTAAAAAAAAAAAGGAAGAAGCCAAATACAAAACATATACCTCAGGACTCTCTGTCTCGAGCACAAAAATGGACACAACATATCTACACTAACGAGTTCACAATGGCAACGACCCCTGGGTGTGTCCTGACCGGAAAGGGGCTGGTAACATGATGCCTTCTCTTTGTGATAACTCACCAAGCTGCACACCTAAAATATGTACACTTAAAAATAAAAAATACATACTTAAAAAAAATAAAACATGTATCTTTTGATGCTAGAAGTCAAAGTTTATAAATTAAGGGTAATGGACTGTAACAATACACAAATGAGTTTCTTCCTTCAGAGGCTTCACATTATTCTTAGAACTAGCTGTCTGCTCTCCGTCTCCCACACAGTTTTGTCCTCACGTAATAATGACATATTTTTATTTTCTCCTGACCTTTTGATTGTCCTTTCACACTGCTCTATGTCAACTGCCTACCAAAATATATATGTAAATAGAAATTGATAGGGGCACCTGGGTAGCTCAGTGGGTTAAGAATCTGACTCTTGATTTTGGCTCAGGTTATGATCTCATGGTTGTGAAATCAAGCTCTGTGTCCAGCTTTGGGCTGGGTGTGAAGTCTGCTTAAGATTCTGTGTGTCCCTTGGCCTCTGCCTCTCTCCTATTTGCACACGCTCTCTCTCTCAAAAAAAAAAGGGGGGGGCACGCTCTGGGTTGCTTAGTCAGTTAAGCGTCCGACTTCAGCTCAGGTCATGATCTCAAGGTTCATGGGTTCGAGCCCCACGTCGGGCTCTGTGCTGGCAGCTCAGAGCCTGGAGCTTGTTTCAGATTCTGTGTCTCCCTCACTCCCTGCCCCTTCCCTGCCCACACCCTCTCTCTCTCTCAAAAAAAAAAAAAACATTAAAAAAAATAATAAAGTAAGTGAATTTGTAAAAACTGAAATGTTAAGCAGTCATTTTGCCTGACTCTCTGGGAGCTGCTATGCCTGGGGGGACCACACACCATAGTGAGGGGCCTGCTTCTTCTGTACAACTGGCAGACTGTGAGCAAGGGCCAGGAAAGGATGCCCATATGATGCCCCCACCGGAGATGTGATGTGTAGCTGGTAATTTTTAGAACAGGGAACACAGCTGCAGCAGATCTGGAATTGGCCTCCCTTAAAAATTATCTGGGTCATGTGTCCCCTGGAAAGTCTTCAGGCACCCCAGTGTCAAGACCATCAGGACAGAGCATAATGAGCTCTGGAATCAGAGGAGGCTGAGCCTGATGCCAGGTCTCACCAAGCCTTAGCTGTGCCACCAGGGCAAATCACCTCCCTAAACCTTTCGACAGCTCCTGAAGCTCGGAAAGAACTGGCATCTTGAAATACACATTCTCACTGGATCAAGGCTCAAAAAAAAAAAAAAAAAAACCTGAAATGCTTTAACAGGTCACACTTACAAAGCGCTTGCTAGGAACTTGACGTGTAACCAACCCTACCTTGTAAAGAAAGGGAAACCCAAGCCCACTGTGACTTGCCCAAAGCCACAAAGTTGGCAGAGCCAGGTCTGGGCTCAGAAAGTCTGGATCCAGAAGGTAAACTTAGCTAACCATCTTCACTGCCTCCTCCCAAGGCAAGGAGCATCTCATTCACAGAGGAGACTGAGCGGGGCCAAGTCCTCTGTAATTGGATCCAATCTGGCATCTTGCAATCCAGTTCCACGGGGGGGGGGGGGGGGGGGGGGGGGGGGGGGGGGGGGGGGGGGGGGGAGGGGAGGAGTTAAGTCATTCAACTCCCTGATCTTCACTTTATCTATAATGGTCATGGCTGGGCGCGTGCAGTCAGGGCTGAGCAAAGGGCCGTTTTCATCATCATACTCACCAGTCAGAGACACAAATCTCAATCTTGCCACTATCTAGCAGCTCTGGCCACAGACCCTCCTCCTCCAAGTCCAAGACCTGCTTTTTGCGACACCAACTAGTGAAGAGGGAGAAAGGTCAGTCGAACAGGCAGGCAGGTCTTGCTCACCACGGCCCTGGCCCTTGTGGGGTAGGGGCTTTCACCTGAAGGAAGACACGAAGCAGGTCTGCGAGGGGGCCCCAGGCACCGTTGACCGGTTTACCTCCACCACCCAGCCGTCCCCACCGTGCTGCACCATCCATTTCCGGAGGCCTTCTGTTAAATAAAATAGGCTTGCGCCCAAGTTCCTCGCCCGCCCACCCGCCGGCCCCCGCCGCCCACCGGCCCCGATGAGGCCCCGCCCCCCGGCTCCCCGGAGGAGGACCCCCCACCCCAGCCTGCGCTCCCAACCCTGGCCGCAGGGGTTGCGGATGAGGTTGCGTCCGATCGGTCGGCGTTCGCAGAAGCGGCCCAGCAGGCAGGGCCGGCCATCGCGGGCGGGGGGCAGGCAGCTGCGGGCGAGCGGCAGCAGGGCGCCGTGGTCCCGGGCCAGAATGAGCAGCCACAGGGCCTGGCCGTCCACCAGCGCGCGCCAGCCCCGGCACACGCGGCGGCAGCACCCCAGCAGCGTGCGTGGCGGCACGTGGCTCAGCACCACCAGCAGCAGCTCGGGCGGCAGTTGGCTCAGGTCCAGCGCCTCCTCGGGTTCGGGCTCCGGCGCGGGGACCCGGGCGGGCCGGCCCCTGGAGGTCGAGGCGCCCATGTTCCCCGCCCCGCGCCAGGCCCGGAGGTGACTGCGGGAGGGTTAAGGTCAAGGAGGCAGGGGCCCGCAGCCTCGGCGGCGGCAGCGGCGCGCGCGCAGCCTCCGCCGGCCCCGCGCCGGCCCCGCCCCTGACCGCCGCACCCCCGGGCCGCCGGCCGCCCCCGCGGCCCTGCCACACCCCGCCTCCGTCCCCGGGTGGCGAGCCCCCAGCCTCCCAGTCCGTCCTTTCCAGCAGCCTCTCCACCCAGCTCCGCGCCCGGGCCGGCCAGCCCCCCGAGTCCCACCTTGGGTCAGTGCCGGGGCCAGTCGCCCGCTAGCCCTCACCTGTTCCCTCGCGCCCTCCTCCCCGCCTCCACTCTTTTACTCGCCGGCCCCTCCTTTCTTAGCCAGCCTTCCCACCCCCCCATCCTGTCCTCCCTCTGGCTGGCTGGTCTCCGCACTCCACTCCCTCCGGCCGCCCCCGGAACTCCCCCGCCCCCAGCCAGCCCCTCCCTCCCCACCCCGATACTTGCCAGACCCCCTGGGGTGTTTCCGCCGTGGGAGAACTACAGGTCCCGACCTGACGACGCAGACGGGAGAGGGGCGGAGGCCGCCGGGATCCCGGGCCCGTCCGCGCCCTCCCGCCTCTTGGAGTGTCCCCGACCCGGCCGGAAGACGCCTGGTGAGGAACAACTGCCGTTATTTTGGTCAGGCATCCGGGTGGGAGCTCACACCCGTTCACTCCTTTAAATATCCCCGTCACCTTTATGGCGGGGCAAGGTCAGCCCCATTTCACGGGAGAAAACAAGGGGGAGTAGGAGCCAAATGCATTATCTATTTGAACCCCAAAACGGGTGCTCTCACCAGAAATAACGCCAGCCAATCTTTACGGAGAGTTTTACTACCAATCAGAGTAGTAACCCCCGGAGGTAGGCACTGCCGTGTGCCCCTTCACAGGTGAGAAAACAGGCCGGCCGAGGCCAAGTGACTTGCTTTGTGGTCACCCGGCTAGCAGGTGACAGAGCTGGGATTTGAACCCGGGCGGTCTGGCTCAGAATCCCCTGCTTTAAACTTCTACTAAGCCCTGGGGCGCCTGGGTGGCTTAGTCGGTTAAGCGTCCGACTTTCGCTTAGGTCAAGATCTCGCGGTTCGTGGGTTCGGCCACTGTGCTCTCAGCTAGCTCAGAGCCTGGAGCCTGTTTCAGAGTCTGTGACTCCCTCTCTCTCTGACCCTCCCCTGCTCACGCTGTCTCTCTCTCTCTCCTAGAAATAAATAAAACACTGGAAAAATTTTTTAAAAAATTAAACCTCTCTACCAAGTCTGTCTAGGAAAAGAGAAGTGTAAGCCGCACATGGCGTTCTAAATATCAAGAAATAAAACCAGACATGGATCTGTGTCCATGTGGAGCTTACATGATGAACAGAAGACATAATAAGCAAATTGTAGAGTGTTGGGGAAATAATTGAAAATACAGTCTCCTGCCAACCCCGAAAAACCTCCATAAACAGAAAAGAATGAAGCAGTTTTATCATTAAGCGTTAAGCCAGACTACAATGCACCGTGGGCCACGATGAACAATAGACACGCCGTGTAAATTACATGGTGTGTCAGAAGGTAATTAATGCTGTGGAAGAATAGATTAGGGAGGGGAATAGGGCACCAGCAGCCTGGGTGGGAGACCCTTCATTCTGAAACATAGATTATTACACTGGCCTATTTCTTTTCAGTACCTACATCTTCAGTAAATGTGTGCAAACCTGTGCAAGAGTGGAACAGAGTAAGGAGCCCCCAGCTCCACAGTTACCCTCCCGGCCAATCTGGTTTCGACTCCACTCCCACCTGCTTGTTCACCGCCGCCTGCCAATTGGAAGCAAATCCTGGCCATTGCACCCTTCTGTCCCTAACCAAAATTATTGTTTTCACGGAATAAGTAGACTGTGGGAATCTTTTTGAGAATGAGCCTATGAAAAGTGGTTATGACCCAACCATATGGGCTCAAAAAAGTTCTTTTTTTGATTTTTAGAAAAAAACTTTACAAACTTAAAAATAGGATAAAAGGACACCATGGACAGCGAGATTCCTTCCATTCCCCAGTTCTTCTCCGAGGCAGTCTCTGTGACCTCCTGGAATTACATCCCAAGCTGTACTCTGATTAAAGAGAAAAACAGAGGCGCCTGAGTGGCTCAGTCGGTTGAGGGTCTGACTCTTGATTTCTGCTTAGGTTGTGGGATAGAGCCCTGCATTGGGCTCTGTGCTGAGCGTGGAGCCTCCTTAAGATCCACGCCCCCCCTCTCTCAAAGGAAAGAAAAGAAAAAAGAAGGGAAAGGGAGGGGAAGGGGCACCTGGCCGGCTCAATTGGTAACGAGTGCAACTCTTGATCTCAGGACTGTGAGTTTGAGCCCCGTGTTGGCAGTAGAGATTACTTAAAAATAAAATCTCAAAAGCAAAACGAAACAAAAACAAATATAAAGAAGTGCGTACCATCTAGGAGGTAAGGCAATGATTACAGAATAATGGCTGCCAGGAGGGTGGTGCTGTGCAAAGAACCCCAGGGGCCATTTGGGAAAAGTCACGGGTGTATTTTGGTGCCACAGTAATGGGGGGGGGAGGGTGTCGCTGGGAAGGTGTGCAAGGACAATGTCACTCAGCAGAGACCTGTGCTGGATTCCCCCTCCTCCTCCTCCTCCTCCTCCTCCTCCTCCTCCTCCTCCTCCTCGAGGTCCTGTGCAAGGAGAATAATCTTAAAAGCTGTTAATCTGAACCTAGAACCCAGTTCCATTCTGCATGTGAATGTGAAGTGTGTTAACCCTGAATCGTCCAGGAAAGCAACTCCTGGGTCAGTCTGTACTTGGCTTGGTGGGGACTTGAGCAGTTTATTCTTCAATTCACGAAACCAGAAAATCTCTTCATCTAGGCAGTGCCAGCTGTGGGTTTTATGGAGCTCCAAGCTCCAAGGATCCCTGTGGGGGGTGGGGGTAGTATCCTGGGGCTGTATCAAATCCCCTGGGGTGGGGGGGACTTTTAAAACGCAAGTTCTGAATCATCAGGTCTGCCCTGGGAACAGAAGTTCCCAGGGGGTTTTGTCAATGATCTCTCTCCTTTTGTCTCACCTTTTACGTTATACTTAGGGTTATTTTATTAACATTTGAAGAATTATCTGTGGAGGCAGCTTTCATTATCCAAGTATTTCCTTTCAAAATAGTAAAGGCAGCTTGGGAAATTACCTACTATAAATGGGGGAGCTAGCTCTGCCGGGGGGAAGGGCTTCCTGAGTAGGGACAGGGGCATCTCTCCCAAGGAGGCGTGTTTGGGAGATTGTGGGGGGGAACCTGCCAAGCCAGTTTGCCAGAAAAGAAAAATCTGGAACCCTGAGGCCTTGGGAGGTAGGCTGCACTATTAATTCCAAGGGCATTAAAGGCTTTGTTCCCATGCCCCCACCTCTCTTCCGTCCAGCTACTGGCTGTATTTTGATCCCAGAAAAGAAAACTTGACGCGAATTGGTCTTTTGTATGGAGGGAACGTGGGAGGGAGCAGGTAATTTGGTTAAAACTATGCTCTCAGAAGGATGGAGAGGTGTCTGGGCGGAGGCAAACTACCCGAGATAGGACTTGTCAGAAGAGCCCTTAATCAGGGATAATCTAGTTTTTTGGGGTTTTTTTAATGTTTTTTTTTTTTAAATTTATTTCTAGGGGAGAGAGAGAGAGAGAGAGAGAGAGACAGCGTGAGCAGGGGAGGGTCAGAGAGAGAGGGAGTCACAGACTGAAACAGGCTCCAGGCTCTGAGCTGGCAGTCAGCACAGAGCCCGACGCGGGGCTCTAACCCACGAACCGCAAGATCATGACCTAAGCGAAAGTCGGACACTTACCCAGCCTCCAGCGTGTCACCATCTCTCCCCATAAACTAAAGAGCCACGGAACCCACAAACCTTTGCCCTCAAACAGTAATTCCTCTCCAACTGAAGCCATATTTGGATAAAATCAAGCCCTTAAGGAAAGTTGGACCAGATGCAGTTTTCAAGGTTAAACACACCAACAAAATAAGAGGCTTTAAAGGATCAAAACACCAGTCTACTTGGAGGGGTACACGCCTAGCGGCCTTTGAAAAGAAATGGGGCCAGGTGAGGGTGTGTGTGTGTGTGTGTGTGTGTGTGTGTGTGTGTGTGTGTTGGGGGGAGGGCAGTGGGCTCAGAGCATCTGCAGGGAGTGGGGCGGCCTGTCTGCAGCCTGTGGGACTGTCTAGCTGGAATATTGAAAATAACAGATCAAGTGAACATTAAATACGACAATGGTATATATTGTGGTTTTGTTAAAAAGGGAGAGAGAGAGAAAAACTTTATCTTTTAGAGATAAATACTGAAGAATTTTGGCGAAAATGCTATGATGTCTGGGATTGCTTTAAAATAATCCAGTGGGAGGGGGGCGCCTGGGTGACTCAGTCTGTTAAGCGTCCGACTTTGGCTCAGGGCATGATCTCACGGTTTGTGGGTTCGAGCCCCGCATCGGGCTCTGTGATGACTGCCAGCTCAGAGCCTGGAGCCTGTTTCAGATTCTGTGTCTCCCTCTCTCTCTGACCCTCCCCTGCTCATGCTGTCTCTTTCTCAGAAATAAATAAAACATTAAAAAAATTTTTTAAATAATCCAGTGGGAGGAGCACCTGGGTGGCTCAGGTCATGATTTCATAGTTTGTGGGTTCGAGCCCCGCGTCGGGCTCTCTGCTGACAGCTAGCTCGAAGCCTGGAGCCTGCTTGAGATTCTGTATCTCCCTCTCTCTCTGCCCCGCCCCTACTTGCGCTCTCTCTCTGTCTCTTAAAAATAAATAATAGTGAAAAAAATTTTTAAATATATTAAAATTCCATCGACAGAAGCAACGAAAACCAAATATATGCAATAGTTCTTGAAAAAGTGTATAAAGTTTATTAAAGGGCATGAAGTAAGAGTGAGCTGTTACGCAAAAGGAGAAGGTGTACACAGAGTCACTCAGACAAACGCAAAAGCATGTCCTGGGCACAAACCTGAAATTGCAGGCTGGTGAGCACAATACACCATTTACATAGAACTTGAAAACACGTAAAACTG